CTCGAATGGTTCTTGAGAAACTTCGAAAAAAGCAGCGCCATGTTTAAGTGGATTTTGCAACTAAAAAAAAACCCACGCAAATCTAAAATTTCTCGAATTCAGCATTTTTTGAAAAAACTTCCAACCTTTCCTTATCGACGGTTCACTTTCTAAAAGGGCCATTTATTTCTGCCTAGAATGATGTACAAATGAGCGTTCTTGCTCATTTTGCCTCCGAGACATGAGCAAAAACGTGATGATAAACATGGAATTTTGGCGTAATCTTACGCTAGCCTTGCACAAAACGAGGATAATTTTTCTAACTTCATAGAAAACAGAAGACTGTATTTTTTCTACATAACCCCCCCCCCTGAATCTAAAGCTGGATCCGCCCCTGGATCAGTTGGGGTTTTTAAAACTTGGCTTTTCAACAATGAGTTTAATATTTTCACTACCGATTGACTTCAAAACTCCAAATTTCGAGCTTAAAGAGGAAATTCGCTGAAAATATCGACTTCATGCTGGAAGTTTCGATATCCAACATTTCTACAGTTTATCATGTCCATGCATATTTCAGTTCGGTGATTAGCCTTTACATAGATTCGAAACTATGCATGATTATGCATGGCCTTTCGCTGGCATTCATTTTGGATGGGTTAAAATGTGTTCTTTGCGGGGACTCCCACAATGGCTGAATTTTTAACTAAGATAAATTGTTTAACTTACCAGTAACAAGTGTAATTGGCAGCGGACACCGCAAGTAATCTAGTATCGATGTTTTGTCAAACAATAGTGGTTTTAATATTGGATGCGATGCGTACCGTAGCAATTTGTTCTCCAGTTTGTCGATAGAAACGGACAAACGATAATTTGTCCACAGTCTGCATACTTAAACGAGTTCCAGCTCTGTTTTATACATTCATGTTTGCAGCCTTTGGGCCCATCAGCGAACGAAAGTATCAACGTGCCCAAATATTCAACTGTTGTAGACGCATAGTGTTTAACCCAGCTGAAACTGGACACTTTGAAATATGCAATTAGAGAAATTGGATAACGCGATTTCCATTAATACACACAAAACTAAACGGAATTCATGCCAATCAAATGGTCACCGTTATTTATAATATGCAAGAATGGCACACTGTGCGCCATACCAAGACTGTCTAGACTGTTTTGATGCTAAACAATCGTAAATTGCGGTGTTTTTTTAAGCATTCTGGATGTAAAGATGTAAAAGACGCAAAAGGTAAGTTGCATTTTGGGCACGGGAATTCCAATCGCTCAAATTCAGGGATTTGTAAGCTTCAATGGCCGCTTGGGTTCGTTTTAATTCGGCGCTGATTGTGATGAAAATAGGGTCGAACATAAGGCAATTTCAAGGGTCGCCTTCGCAGAGATTTTATACAAATTGAGGGCGGCGCCGCTAAAAGGGCTTCTTCGGCCGAACTGTTATCAAAGAGAGAACAAACCCATGGAAATTAGTCAGCTTAACCGAAAAGAAATAGCCGGGCCGCGTTAATTTATGGAACGTTTGGCGAAAATTTAATCAGAATTTGGTCGGACAACTACACAGAAATTGCATCGACCGCAGAGCTATTTTCTCTTATGATATTAAGCCAAATCCTAATCCGGCACATTCTAACTAAGCTCAAACTAATGTTGGCCCTACGGAAGTGGGGGATGGGCGGCCAGCCCGAACTGAGGGTCCAGCGAGTTTCCATTGTTTTAATCGAACTCATCTCCAGTTCTCATTTCGGGCAAATGTTAGCGACCATGGCGGGGGGGATATTAACGCTCCGGTGGGGGCGTGGGGGCACATGCTGGCCCTTCGCCCCCACGGCTTTATCGACCCACCAACTTACAACTTTATAGGACTTATTTCTGGGTATTTGGGGCCGGTTGCTGTTAAGCAGCCAAAAACCAACAAGGGTTTATTGACTCTCAAATTTCTCTGAAAACTTTAAATATTTCTAATTAGTCGATAAAATGTGCTTATTTAGGTCAATAAACAAGGGGTCCCGTGGGCGCGTGAACAAAAGAATACTGACCTAACTTTCACCAAGAAAAATGTCTGGCTTCACTGCTATTGATGCTAGTGATGGTCAAACGTCTTCAAAACAAGCTCCTTTTCGAAAAAAATGGCTGTGAATTTGTTCCTACGTAAAACTCCGGTTGGGTTGAAGCAACCGAGTTCATCGGCTTGAGACAAGTGAGGAATTCTTGAGTGTCTTGGTGCAAAAACTACCAGAACTTTTCATTTCGTGCCTGGGATCAACAGATTTTTTTTTGAGTTGATGCTCTGGTCCTTTGTTGATATTCTTGTTCGCTCTGTAAAATCTTGCAGCAGACAGAGTTTTTGCGTAAAAAAATATTTTTGTTCTCTTGCCATCTGACAATTTCCGAACTGCGAAATTTTTGCATCAAAAGACGACGATCTGACCTAACTTTTACCCGGAAAAATGTTTGGTTTCACTGCTATTGATGCTAGTGATGGTCAACCGTTTTCAAAACATGCTCTTTTTCGAAAAAAACGGTTGTGTATTTGTTCCTACGTAAAACTCCGGTTGGGTTGAAACAACCGAGTTCATCGGCTTTGGACAAGTGGGGAATTCTTGGGTGTCTTGGTGCAAAAACTACCAGAACTTTTTATATCGTAGCGCAAATCTAGTGACTTTTTTGAGTTGATGCACTGGTCTTCTGTTGAAATTTTTGTTATCTCTGTAAAATCTTGCAGCATACAGAGTTTTTGCGTAAAAAAATATGTTTGTTGTCTTGCCATCTCACAATTTCCCACTCCAAACTTACTTATGTCAGGGCCATATTTTGCTCAACAGCGTGTCTAAATTAGAGCCAAAGACTTTCTAGCCCGAAAAAAGCCCGAAACGTTCCTCAATCTGTGTTTGGCTTAAAAAAGTGCGCAACTCACGGCTCTATTCCCCAACAGCAATTAGAGCTCAACAGGTTTTCTAAATTTGATCCAAATCGGCGTGAAAACTTGAAACATTCCTAAATTAATGTTTTATTACGCAAAGTTTTATGCAAAATTTGATATTTCGGGAAACTTTCCCGTAGAAACCCCTGCTAAAACACCAACCGTTCGAAACATACATCGGTTCATTTTTGTTTAATAACTCATAGACTTTTTGGGACAATTTTCGGCTTAATTTTGAAATGCGCCATGCAGGCGCATTAAATCTCAAAAAATAAGCTGGTGGAAACGAACGAAGCCAATGCCTGCGGAAGAACGACACCATTTTTTGTTAATCACCCAGTATTTGGCTCCGATTGAACGCCAAATCAATGTTGTTTTGAACGAGAGGAAACAGGAGTGTCCGTAATTACTTTTCCAGCTAATCCCATTGAACAAATACCAGAGCTGATTATACGGGTAGACTGGAACGTTCTAAGAGAATCACAGAGAAGGGTGTTAGCTGCCTGGCATTCACTTGCTGAATGGACGCTAGTTAAAGCCCATCTTAATTGCCGCCATAAAACAAAACCCGTAAATAACGGCTTTCGATGGATTTGCATTCATTTGGTTTCATTTACAATGTTTAATTAACGCTGTTGGATAATCGACAATGAGAAACAGTTCATGCTAACTTACGTGATGCTCTACTGCAGTAGACGACGGTTTAGGTTCAGTTCGAGAGTGAATTTCGTGATTTAACTCGACATAATCGTCTTGAATGGGTATCGAGCTACGAGCAAGTCGAGGTGTCAATGAGAGCAGGTGGTTAATCTGTCGTCCAGCTCATAATGAAGTGTTAATAAGCCCACGCCTAATCTATAAACCTCAACGTAGCAATATTGTGTGTTACGCCGAGACAACGGAACACACTGCCGGTGTTAATTGTGCCTCACCACTGTTTGATGATCAAAGAGACAAAGCTCCATATTGCCTCGAAATAATCCACTGTCCTAATTGAGTGCGAGGTTTTGAGGGATTTGGACCAGAAATGGCAATAACTTTACGGAAAGCTCCCGTAAAAAAGCGCAATTTTCTTTCCCAACTTCATCCTACAGGGTGATACAAATTTGCTCTTTCGTGGGCAAGTAAGTTTGATAGAAACAAGAATTCTGGTGAATTAACCATCAGCTGTTGAACAAGCGTAAAAAGAACTAAGTTTTTCAGCTTTTGTGGGACTATGCCCAGAGGGGAATGTGGCAAAGCCTAAAAGCAAACTCAGACATTTCAGTCCTCAACTATGGGCGCAGATTTGTCCGTTCTATAGCGCAATTCAAGTTCGCAAATTAATGCAAAACGCCCGTACTTTATTCACATAATAAATTCGTCCGTAACATCCGAAACTGATAGAAACGCCCAAACCTAATTTTGCCGATGTTGTGTGTACGATATGCAAATATCGCCACGTCCCAAGGCATCAAGTTACTATCTAGTTTTAAAATTTCAACTGACACGAACCGAAAGTCGATACCGTCACGTACGGTCCGGCTCTATTTCCTATTGGTCAATTTCTGTCAACACGTGAGCCCACAACGTTTCTGGAAACTCAGAAACTCCTTCATGAAAGTTTCCCATCAAGTTTGCCTTCCAACGTTTTTTGAGCCCCATATACATATATAGAGCCATTGAGTCTATAGTAAGGTATGCCTGGTTAACTCAGTGAATTTTTAGGAGTTGGCGCAGTGCTGCTCAAATGGTTCGTGCGCCAACCCAACGCCGTAACTCAGTTCCGTCGCTGGGAAAATGTTGATGACTTTTTTTAATTGTTTTTAGATTTATTCAAATTTCAATCAATCAAGATCGAGTCTTGAAATTTCAAAATTTTCCGGTTTTAGCCAAGTATGTAAGTTAAAAGTCGCAATTTCTTATGTGAATTCAGAATTTTCACTTCAAGTCCGGGTGCAAGCACGAAATGTTCAGTTGAATATCAAAAGGGTTTGACGTCAACAAGTTAATTGTTTGGACTTAAAAGTTTGTGCTTAAAATCGAAAATTTGCTTAAAGTTCCATTTTAATCTTTCAGCTCCAAACTTAGAGTTTATTTTCTAAATTTTCCGCTTGAAGCGAAATATTGAATTCCTATCCAGTTTCAAGTTTCTATTGTTTAAATCACTTTTTTGTCGAAAATTGTTGAGCTAATTATCCAAAAACCATAGCGATTCCTTTTTGCACGGAATTTTGAGTTTCACTATGAAATGTCTTGTATGAATTCAAAATTTTGAGTTTAACGCCAAAATGTGTTCAACGCAATGGAGAAAGTTTCTTTTGAATCAGAGATGTTTGTCTGATGTGAAAACTTTGAGTTGAAGACTGAAATTTCTTAATTCAAGTTTATACACTAAAGTCTGAGTTTGTAGTAAATAGTTTGGGCTAATTACTTGATATTAAATGCAAAATTGCAGTTTATTATCGAAAATTTATATTTAGTTTCGAGCCAAATCGAGAAAATTCGAATATAAACCAAAACTTGTTTGTTCTATCTAAATCTAGAATTCCTGCCGTCTAAGTGTTGACCGCGACGTTAAAATAAATCGGAATTTGTTTGTTTGAAATAAAAACTTCAAGTCAAATTTTCGCATTTCAAGAATGTGGGGAAAATCTGGAGTTTGCAGTCAGACTTTTGAATTTATTCTTGAGCTTTCCATCAATAAATGATGTTCAAGTTGGTGACGAAAAACTAAGTTTGCTTCAAAATGTCTAAAACATCGAGCTTGCAATCGCAATTTTGAGTTTATTGTTGAACCATGAAGTTTGTTTTTAGAAATTTGAAGCCTTAAAGCAAAATTAGTTTTTTCTATCAACGATCCATGTTTAATATCGAATGTGTGCTCGTTAAGTTTATTATTGAAAACATTTCAAGTCTCAAGTTTGGAGTAAAACAGTTGTGTTTAATTTAGTGTTCGGATCGGAAATATTGGATTTCCGCATCCCATAGTTTCGAGTTTGCAGATACATTTTTGTGTCGAGATGTAAAGTTTGTTTACAAAATTGTTGAGTTTGCAGCCCAAAAATCGAGATAAAGGATAGTTTTGCTTAAACAAGGAAGGTTTTTTCCTTCCGCAATCTTTTGCAACTAATTTCCGTCAATAAATTTATGAAATCCGTATTTGAAATTTGGCCAAAACCGCTGGAAAGTTGGAAGTAAAGCGAGAAAACCACCTCTGAAGATGCCAGCGGGGCGTGCTTGCGAAACGTCAGGAAAAAGTTTGATTGCACCACGCGAGAGACTTTTTCGGCGCGTGCGGTTGAAAAATCCAAATGGCAAACACCGATGTATATCAGACGACAACATAATTAGCCAATTGATATCGATAAATCAAACAGGGCAATTCCAAAATACCTAAACAGCGAATTAACAAACAATTTTAGCGAGAGATAATAGTCGTTTGCTTAAATTGATATACGTTTACGTTCGCCAATATTCGATCAATTTCCCCTTTGTAGCTACCCCAAATATCCGTTTTAATTGTATCAATTGGCGACCTTGCGTGTTCCCTGCAAAAGCCGACACTTTTTTCCGATCGGAATTCGTCGGATGTTGTAAAAACCCATCGGATCCTGATGGTGTGTCTGTCAGCGATCAATTAGATTAGAAAAAGCCCCGCAAAAAACATCATTGTTGATTAATAAAGGAACTTTCCGACCGAACATTCTGGAACTAGAAGAGGAGTTGTGTATTCGTTGAGCTGACAATGGGGAATTTAGTTTGGAAGCATGCTGATAGCCATCGAAACTTTACGGGCCCGAAACATGAATATTTCGAGCCCGAACTTTTACTACCAAACATAAAAGCTCCCCAGCTTCTCTGCCGAACTTATTAAACGCATTTGCTGGACGCTGTCTTTATGCTGGTGGTGCCAAAGTGTTTATGTATATTCGGGCGTGAATACGCTTTAATGAAACTCAACTCGCTTTATTACGGGCAAAATATCTGAGGAATAGGAAATTGGGTTTCGGCCCCGAAATTCTGCCTCATTTAAATCCATTCATTCCGTTCAAAGGATGCAATGCGAAAGCGTAGAAAGTTCCGTTCCAGCCGCAGAAAAGTCATCAATCGAAAATCTCCAGCTCGCGTTCCCATGCCCCGGCTGAAAATCTTGCAAATTAATGTAAAATTATGCCCGTCTTAAATCGAACGTTTTCATATGAAAAGAATCCGAAATCAACCTGTATGTTCACATGGACGGACAGTCGATAGTGCACCCCTTTACTGGACGCTTACTTCCCTGTGCCCTTCAGGTCAGCGCTTCGGGTCATAAGGGATGGACAAACCCCAATAATAACTCGCGTAAGAAAAGCCCTGGAAAATTTGTATGCGGATAGTCGAAAGTGCATAATTGTGGGATCTCAGAGCACTGAAGGGCTGAAGCAGTTCGGAACGCAAAAAATCACAGTTCTTCCACTTGCATCAGCAAAAATCAAGGAATAAACCATCAAGTGGCATTAACAAAAAATGCTTTTTGGTCATACAAAGTTTCTTTTAATACCTTTGGAGCTTTATAGCGAAATGTAGAGTTCATTAGGAACAATTCAAGCTTGAGATGGAATACGTTTGCTCGATCTCGCTTGTTCAGCTCAATATCGAAAACACCAGTTCGATCACATTTCGACTATGAAAATTCTACGTTTATATTCGAATATTTGAGCGTTTGCGACAATTTTTCGTTCCGAAACCCTCAGGCCAAGTTTTTAGTGTAAGAATTTGTGCTTGAACTCGAAATTTCGAGTTTGAGGCCAAAGTTTGACTCATTCAAATGATTGAAGTTGAAATGAACACGAACGGTTTAGTAATTAAAAATCGAGACTCGCTCTCTTCAGAATTTCATTGAATTTTTCGAAAAATAACAGAAAAATTGTCCAATCTTTATGCGTCCAAAAAGGCGATTTGGAATGTTTTAAAGCGAACGGTTGAGTTTACTGTCAATTATTCACGTTTCAGTGCGAATTTGTCTATTTTATGTCGCTATTTTGTCATTTTTTGTATTATCAAGTTTCATTTTTTTTCAAACTTCTTTTTGGGTATTCCGCCTCAAAAAATTTTTGTCTTTAAAAAAGACAGAATTTCCGCACGTCTTTTATTACAGATTGATAAATATTGCTCCTATTTCGCAATATGAACGAATTATTTATCAAAAAGTAATCAAGAACTATCACCTAGAGGGTATCCTGCGACACACTTAGGCTCAAGCTG